ACTGCATTTGGAATGTAAAAGGGCGATTTATGAAAGAGATCCAACAATCTTGCAATTTAGAGGTGCTATTGTATCATTTATGGTGTCATATTTTCATTTCCCTGCAGAACTCACCCTGTGACCCATGCTTGGTGCACGCCTGCATGCACTGGTGAGCCTTGTGCCGGGAGCACAGGGAGATGAAAGGACACTTATCTGATGTGGCCATCGTGCCAATGACCTTTGTCAATCCTCCTCTAGTCCAACAGATGAATGCTGCGGGTTAGAAGCAGGATTTAGACATTTGCAAATAGGACAGAGTAAACCAACCTCAAGACACAAGCTTTATATAGATAGCACATGCAAGAGAACAATTCCAGAGTGATATAGTACATACTTCAAATTCGGAGGGATTTTGCTACATCAGTATAAATTTTAAAATGTCTAATCTCATTGTCTTTCTCTTTGTGATATATAACTAAATCTTGAAACTTCTTAGCTCCTCATGATAGGGGAAAATATAATTTTTTTCACTTCATACAATTAGATTTCTCAAAACATGCTATTCTCTTTGGATTCTGATCATGGTATGTAGGAGAACTTTAGTGGATCTGTGAAGTTCTATACTCGGTTTATTGATGTTTTTCATGGTCTTCAGTGATTCCTTTTATTTGGTATAAGCTTGCAATATAGTCATAATTCACACGAAATTGGTATAAACAGAAGTGCTGACTGCAGATGATAGGCATCAAACAAAAGTCCAACCTTCCTAAGCACACAAAGACGACATTTAGGGTGAGATAACCAGCGGGGTTGGATGTTAATTGGCTATAGAAGATATGTTTTATTTGTTTTGTTCAGAACTAGCATTTTTCTTGTGGTAGCAAAAATAATTAAACTGAATGAACTCCTCTTTGCTAGTGTATGATATTATGCTTGGTTGTTTATCATCCAACAAAAGCATATTTACTCAAAAACATGGTAAGAGAAGATGAGATAGAAAGTTCCAACTTCATGTCTTGAGCTCTATCTTCAATCACGGAATTGGTCAAGGAAAAGAAGAGTGATCTAACGGATCCGCGACCAAGAAAACCCATAATTTAACAAAGTAGTTATGAATTCATATCATTTGTTAAAATTTATATCCACTGCAATGACAAATACGCTACATTGGAAAATAATTATTCGAATTTTGAAACGGAAATAAATACGTTAATCGAATTATTTTGTTTACACACTACGAATTTTACGATCTTTTAATGTATATACAAAAAAAGTTCCTACTTTTATCTTAATTCATTTATGTATTATCTATTCAAGATGGCGATGATATGTAAGTTAATGTCACGGACCACAATAGCCGGACAAGGTAAAAATCACCTGATAGTATGATACAATACTATAAATTATGCAATTTTAGGAGAATGGAAAAAAAAAAGTCATATATTTAGTCCCTCAGTTTGGTGAAGAGACAGAAGATGATAAAAAGACAACCACAAGGAAAAGAAGTTGGAAGTAACGGGGCCATGGAGAAGGGCAACAAGGTTGGGATGGCTGTGGGGTTAACCCAAAAAAAAAATGTTATTTAATTTTATTTGCATTTAAAAGTATTTGTTATTTTTTTTAATTTATATGAATTGATGATATAATTTAAATATCAGAAAAATTGAATAAATAGAAAGTACTCTTAAGCCCCTGTTTGAGCTTCATTAAAAATAAAATTTAGGGAGGTTAACAGCACAAAACCCTTTACCTATTGGGGATGCTGCAGAAAATTCCATACTTTTTGGAAATAGCACAAAACATCCTTATTTGAAACATTTAGTATGGAATACCTCATGTCATCCATTTTTTCAATAAAAAATTGTGAAATGATGAATATATATATAATGGAAAGAAAAGAAGAAAAAAATTAATTGCAACCATATCCCCAATTTTTTAAAAACAAATGAGTACAAATAAATTTCTCTTTGCCTTCTGATAAGTGTTAAATTTACACTTATTTAAGCCACCAAAAGTGTTTATTATTATTATTATGAATTTAGTACTTACTTATTTGTGTTTTTGAGATTATGTAGAAGAAAAAGCAGATTAGCACAATTATTGATGAAGAAGGACGAAAGTGAATGAAATCTACAATTTTGGGATCAAATTCCACACTAAGAAAATTCAAGGGACTGATTTACATGAATTGGAAGATATGAAGCATTGATGCAATGATAATCAAAGTGGAAGGCAAAAAGAAATATGATTGAAATCAAATTAAGGGGCTGTCTGGGAGCCATTTTGGCTGAATTAAAATTCATTTTTTTACCGTTTGAGAAGGTAAGCGGGACCCAGACTGCAAGGACAATTAAAATGGTCAAATGTTGTGGGCATGCAAAATGACATGAGTGCCCCTTCATGGTTTTAAACTTGTCCAGCAATGAAGGATGTTTATGACAAAAATGTCATTTTCCACTCATTATTCAAAATTTCCTCTGGCATGTCAGAATTCCTGCAAAATCTGTCTAAACCAACGGTCCAATTTCACAGGTATCAACGGTCCTATTTTGGGTTTTAAGTGCGCCCAGACACACCCTAAGTGTTGGAATGGAAATTGGAAAATGATTCAACTTCAAAAGGGAAGTAGTGGATTGGGAAATCTAATGGGGGCTGAAAATAAGGAAAGAAAAAGAAGAGGACGAGAGGAAGGAAATAAACATGAAAAGGAGGGAAAAGAAAAGAAGAGCCGACGCGGCAGAAAGAAGAAAAAAAAAAGAGAGGAGAAAAAAGACAAAGAAGAAAGAAGAAAGAGAGAGATGGCGCAGGAAGAGAAATTGGGGAGAAAAAATTATTATTCCAAGCAATCATCCCAATAATTGGACAAGAATCTGAGGAGAAATCTATCACATTCGTCTTCGTTATAGTCGGAGGATTTTTATTTTGTTGAGTTTAATTAAACTCGGTGATATTTTCCAACTTTTATTTGTTTGATTTCAACGTTATGGATGAATAAACACTTTTTATGTTAGGATGAATGATGTAGTTTAAGGTTTTTATTATATGCTTAATTCTAAGA